ACATCCATGTGAAAGAGACATTTATATATATACATATTTTTTTTTTTTGATTTCAAAGAGGAAGGGAGAGGGAGAGAGAGAAACATCCAGGAGAGAGAATCATTGATTGGCTGCCTCCTGCACGCCCCCTACTGGGGATTGAGCCTGCAACCCAGGCGTGTGCCCTGACCGGGAATTGAACCATGACCTCCTGGTTCATAGGTCGATACTCAGCCACTGAGCCACGATGGCTAGGCAGAGAGACATACTAGTATTGATTAGAGGCCTCCTGCACGTGCCCCAACTGGGGCCGGGGTTTGAGCCTGCAACCAAGGTATGTGCTCTTGACCGAATCAAACCTGGGACCCTCTAGTCCTCGGGCCGATGCTCTAGTCACTGAGCCGAACAGGCTAGGGCAGTGGTTGGCAAACTCATTCGTCAACAGAGCCAAATATCAACAGTACAACGATTGAAATTTCTTTTGAGAGCCAAATTTTTTAAACTTAAACTATATAATAAGACACTGGGGGGAAGGGGAGGCCAGGGGATTGTCAAGGGTGGGGAAAAAAGGAGACATGTAATACTTTAAGCAATAAAACAATTTAAAAAAATAAAAATAAGTAAATAAATTAACTTAAACTATATAGGTAGGTACATTGTTATTAACTTAATTAGGGTACTCCTAAGGCTTAGGAAGAGCCACACTCAAGGGGCCAAAGAGCCGCATGTGGCTCACGAGCCACAGTTTGCCGACCACGGGGCTAGGGTAATAAATGGTAGTTTTAACTACAATTATTAGGACACACCTTGAGTGAAACCCCTTATAGTATAGGTATAGCACTCATTTTTAAAATTTTGAAATTAAGAATAACTTTCCTTTATAATTAGTCTGCCACAATGAAGAGATGGGGAAAAGGAATCACCCTTCCTTGCTTTGCATCTGTGGGGTGTCAAGTATGTATTCGAAAACATTGAATCCTTCCAGCTGTCAAAAAAGTATGAATTTTTACAACTCATTATACAGAGGAGGAAACTGATAGAAAAGTTAAGTAAATTTTCCCAGGGTCACACAGCTAATCAATGGCTGAGTTGGAATTAAAGCCAAGTCTTACCCTTCTGCAAAATCCATGTTTTATGCAACTCCTCGTATGCGCTGGGCCTCCAAAGGCCCACTTGGCGCTGAGGACTACACTTGCCGTCCAGTCAGTTAATCCTTTGTTTTCCTTGGTGGGTTGGCCCCAGCTGCTTTCATTATGCACTCTGATGTGGACCCTGAAGGGAGAAGAGTTAGCACAGGACATCCTGTTTCCCCAGAGAGATGAAATGGCTTGTTCTGTGTCTATAAGTCCATTGTACATCAGGCACATGGTTCATGCACATGAAAATCATCCAAGAAAAACGGGGGTAGAGTCCACATTCTGCCTTTCAGTTCTTGGGTCTAGACATTAGCCCAGGGGTGGGCAAACTTTTTGACTCGAGGGCCACAATGGGTTCTTAAACTGGACCGGAGGGCCGGAACAAAAGCATGGATAGAGTGTTTGTGTGAACTAATATAAATTCAAAGTAAACATCATTACATAAAAGGGTACGGTCTTTTTTTTTTTTTAGTTTTATTCATTTAAAACGGGCCGAATCCGGCCCGCGGGCCGTACTTTGCCCACAGCTGCATTAGCCTGTGGTTCTTCTTGGCCCCACCAACTTGTTCCCTTTCAGCTGCATGTATCTCAACCTTTGGGGTCTTCTGGCTGCTCTCTGATTTCCTAGGGAGCCGCAAGAGCCCGAGGGAGCAGTAGGGCCAGAGCCGAGGGGGAGAACAAGGAAAGGAGAGCCCGGGAACAGAAAGCCCTGCTGGAGAGCCCGAGCACCCTGGGAGCAGGCATGGGTTCGTTTACTTCAGTAACAAGGACACGACGTGTGCCTGGTGCTGTTTACGAGCTCTACTCACAGAACCTCTTCACGAGAGCCTGGGAGATAGGCACGTCATCTAGACAGAATCCTAGGAGATGAGCACCATCGTTATCTCCATTGTATAGCCGTGGGCATTGAGGCACAGAAAGGTCACACAGCTAGGGAGGGGCTGGCATTTGAACCTAGGGTTCTTTAGTCCATGAGTTTATTTTATTTTTTTTAAATATATTTTTATTGATTTCAGAGAGGAAGGGAGAAGGAGAGAGAGAGAAACATCAATGATGAGAGAGAATCATTGATCGGCTGTCTCCTGCACACCCCACACTGGGGATTGAGCCTGCAACCCTGGCATGTGCCCTGACTGGGAATTGCATAGCAACCTCCTGGTTCCTAGGTCGACGCTCAGTGCCGGCTGGGCAGTCCATTAGTTTAACTAATATGTCATTGTTTTTTGAGGGAAGGAATGAGCGAGTGAACAAATGAATCTGGGGTTTGGGGCTTGCCAGACAAGGCCCAAGGAGGCAGTGTGCAGAGAGCCAGTGGACAGCAGGTGTGCTTTGGAGTCAGCAGGGTCGGGTTGGAATTCAGGCTCTGTCACCTGGTGTCTGTGTGATCCTGGGTGAGTAACTTAATCCAGAAGTGCTCATTTCCTCATCTTCAAATGGGTATAATAATGCTTCTCTCCTGGGGTCTTGGTGAAGGTTGAACAAGATCACTTCTGTAAAGCTTCTAGCCCCATGAGTGGCATATAGTAGGTGCTCAGTAAGGACTCACTGTTACAGTATTTTTACTGACACTATGCAGATAGATTGTATTAACAGGGCATCACTACACCTATATGAAATTGAAACTCCATGTTGACAGGGATTAGAAGGGAAATGAAAACAGCTGTTAAAGAATGAAAAGGAATTAAAGGAAGTTTCTTCAATGCTTCATTATTTTTGTAGTGTTTCTAAATGGAACAAATAAAACAGGCATGCAGTGGGTGTTCAGTAGCCTTTAAATGTATGAATGAAAAACATTCTAACATATTTTTATTGGTTGAGTACATTGCTTAAAGCTCTGACCTGCCCGGGCAGTGTGGCTCAGTGGTTGAGCTTCAACCTATGAACCAGGAGGTCAGGGCACATGCGCAGGATCAGGCTTGATCCCCAGTGTGGGGTGTGTAGGAGGCAGCTGATCAATGATTCTCATCATTGATGTTTCTATCTCTCCTTTCCTCTCTGAATTCAATTAAAAAAATATTTTAAAAAAACAAAACAAAAACTCTGACCTTAGGAGAGTAGATAGCTACTCTTGGGGTTTGTTACTGGACAGGGTCTGTGCAGAAAGGAGTTAATGTTGCAGGCCTCAAATGGAAGCCCTGTAAATGCTGAATTTTCTGCTAGGGGTTTGAGTAAATTTGCAATGAGAAAAAAGGGAAAAAATTTTAAAACATGGCTTTGTATTTTTGTCGCTGTTGTATCTTGATATATGACCAAGTTGATTTAAAATGTTATAAGCTTATAATTTCATAAATGCTAGAGGAATCATTCCAATCAAAGAAAGTTGCAATTAAATTAAGAAGGTGGTGGTGGTATACAACTTTCTTGCTTTTTGCCAGCAGCGAGTTAGAATTTAAATTCTTTGGGTATTGAAACCAGAACAAATCTCCATAACTGATGATTGTTGCTATGACTTGGTCTGTTGGTGCCTCTGGAAAACGGGAGACAACAGGAACAGAGAGGCAATCTCTGGGTGGAAATGCACATTTGGAAACTGAAAACATAGTTAAATTGATAATGAGCCTTTGCTGAAATCAAATGTCTGACCCAGATTGGCTGATGCCTGCCCAGTTTGATGTGCATATTTTTGAGTGGGTCAGTTTGAACTCTAAGACAGATAAGATAAAAAGGAAGCGCCCAGCTGGTTTGGCTCAGTGGTTGAGCATGGACCCATGAACCAAGAGGTTACCAGTTCAATTCCCAGTCAGGGCACATGCCTGGTTGTAGGCTCGATCCCCAGTAGGGGGCGTGCAGGAGGCAACCAATAGATGTGTTTCTCTCTCATCAATCCCTTCCTCTCTCTCTAAAATCAATAAAAAGCATATTTTTTTAAAAAAGGTAAGAAGGAAGCTGTGCTTGTCGCTTGGATTTGGACTATCTGGCACTGCAGCATACCTTTGCTGCTGTTGAAGAAAAGCAGCTGGCTCATTCGGCATCCCAGATTCACTGATCCTGATTGCTGGCACCCAACAAGAAGCTGAAAACTCAGACTGGCTGCTTGTGCCTTTTCAGCCTCAGCGGGAACTGTGCTGGACTGAAAGCAGACACAGGCTCTGTGAGCAGGACTTAGGCCTTGGGACCATGGAGACTCAGGATCCCCTCTGTGGAGCTCTGAATTATGAAAACATGTGTCGCAGACGCTGGCTGGGCCATTTGGGTCACATACAAATGCCATAGAAAAGGGCCTGATCTCTGATGGGATCATCTAAAATCAAGCTGCTGATCAGCTCTTTATCTCTGACCAGTGGCTAATTGCATCCTAACTTGTGATCCTGGCCGAAAGCTGCCAGTTAGAGGACACATTACAGGGACTGTGACCCCTCTGTCTGCTTTTGGCAGATCCGCCTCTGGGCCTCCTTTGGGGTTATTGCACTGTTCAGCTTTCTGGATTGCTGCAACTTGCCACAATGGGTTGATAGCCTGACTCTGCCTTCCCCCTTCCCCCGGCACAGACACCTTAGGAAGGCAGGGTGATTATTCATACATAGCTGTCTTAGAAAGGGATTGATCTTTCCTAGGCTACTCTGTGGATAAAGGGTAGGAGGTTATGTAGACCCATTTTGAAATTTTTTAAAATTCAGAGTTTCATCCTCTATTAATCTGCAAGGGCTGCCATTAAATACCACAGAGAGGGTGGCTTAAACAACAGAGATTTACTTCCTCACAGCTCAGGAAGTTAGAAGTCCAAGATCAAGCTGTTGGCAGGGTTGGTTTCTCCTGAGGCCTCTCTACTCGGCTTGCAGATGGCCACCTTCTTGCTGTATCTTCACATGGTCACCACTCTGTGTTGCCTATGTCCTAATCTCCTGTCATAAGGACGCCTGTCATATTGGATTAGGGCCCACCCGAATGCCCCCATTTTACCTTGATCACCTCTTTAAGGTCATGTTCCGAGGTGGTGGGGGTCAGGGCTCAGCATAGGAATCTGGGGAAGACAGCTCAGCCTTCACATAGCCTGACCAGCTCCTGAACATGTCTTTCTGGCTAAATGCTTTTATGCCTCTTTTGTACAATCCTTCCAGGTGAAAGGACTGGTTGAGAATAAGAGGTGATTGAACAAATGTAGCTCCTTGGTTGTGGTCAGACCCTGAGCTGAGAACTCTGAATGGTTGCTCAGGTTCTTTCAGGTCAGTGTGAAGGCCTCGTCGCTGTCTGAGGAACACGAGTGAGTGAGAAGGAATGGGCATGGGGGGGAAAGGTCTGTGTGTCTTTGTTCTCAGCACATGGCTGCGCTAGCAAAGAAGGAACCTGTCCAGAATTCCCACAGGACAGGAAAAGGAGGGGACATCTCAACAGGAAAAAGCTCTGCAGTGAAAGTGAAGGGATGCCTGAGAATCAAGGGGAGCTGGACAACGAAGAGCACCTCAGTGCTGCAAAGCCAGAAGGAGCTCGTACGCGGGAAGACAAGGAAAAGTTAGGAAATGAGGGAAAGAGAAGAACAAGGGAGAGACAAAACAGGAGGAAGTACTAGAGGAGAAGCGACAGCCAGGAGGAGCCAGGGAGAGCTAGGGGAGCCAGGGAGAGCCGGGGAGCCAGGGGGAGTCAGGGAGAGCCAGGGAGCTAGGGAGAGCCAGGGAGCTAGGGGGAGCCAGGGGGAGTCAGGGAGCTAGGGAGAGCCAGGGGGAGCCAGGGAGCTAGGGAGAGCCAGGGGGAGCCAGGGAGCTAGGGGGAGCCAGGGAGAGCCAGGGGGAGTCAGGGAGAGCCAGAGAGCCAGGGAGCTAGGGGGACCCAAAGGGAGTCAGGGGGAGTCAGAGAGAGCCAGGGAGCTAGGGAGAGCCAGTCAGGGAAAACCAAAAGAAGGAGAACCAGCCATTGAACCAAGGGCTGCAGGAAAGCACCCAACTGAGGATGATGTACCCAGAAAAGCCAAAAGGAAAAGGAACAAGAGGCTGGCTCAGTACCTCAGGGAATACAAAGAGGCCATACATGGACATGCATTTGAGCCGTGAGGAGCTAAGAGAATTTGAGGGTTTGCTTAGGGTAGAGCAGGGGTCCTCAAACTACGGCCCGAGGGCCACATGCGGCCCGCCGAAAACATTTATCCGGCCCGCCGGGTGTTTTTGCCGCCGCTGTGTGCATAGGAATTTGTTCATAGTTTTTTTTTAAACTATAGTCCGGCTCTCCAACGGTCTGAGGGACAGTGAACTGGCCCCCTGTTTAAAAAGTTTGAGGACCCCTGGGGTAGAGGATGAGGTGAAGAAAACCAGACAGAAATTGGGGCGGGGGGTGAGGGGAGGAGGTTATGTGAATACAAAAAAGTTTACAGGACCCCTTCCACCCAAGGGAACTTAGGGGTGGCTGTAAGGCCCCACAAAGGAGCTTTGAAGACATTCCTCTCGTGTAGTCCCCTGCCAGGCATTCGCTAAGCACAGGGCTTTAACCTTATGCTTAGACTTTGCTCTAGGTGTCATTCTTGCTATCCAGCTGCAGCCCTCTATGTTTCAGTAGCACATTTTCATCTGTTGCATGGAATAATGTCTATGGTGCATTGTAAAATTAAAAAGAAAACAGTTTGAAGAAGCATCAAAAAAAGAAAAGAGCCCGGCCAGCCTGGCTCAATGGTTGAGCATCGACCTATGAATCTATAGGTCAGGGCGCATGCAGGAGGCAACCGATCAATATTCTCTCTCATCATTGATATTCTCTCTCTCTCTCTCCCTCTCCCTTCCTCTCTGAAATACATAAAAATATTTTCTAAAGAAAAGGATATATGTAAAGTTAGGATTGCTGAGTGGTGTGGCCTGCTGATTTTGTGACAGTGGAGAAAAAGCAGAAACCTAGCACCCGGGGAGCCTTGGGGATGGGAAGACATTCTGATCTCTGTTTGTCAGAACTATTACTGGAAGCTTTCTGTCTCCCTGGAAGCTTTCCAGTGCTTCCTGCCATGCACCGAGCGGGCTCTGAGTTCAGACTGCTGGGTCTGTGGCTACACCTGGCAGCACTGACTGTGACCACAGAGGAGGCTCCTGCGCTCTCCATCAGAACACCTTCAAGTGCTGTCCACACTCCTGAGGTGGATAAACTGGTACCATGGACATGAAACACGGGAACGGACTCCCTCCAGGCAGCCTTCAGGCAATCCCCGGAAAACCAAGAACTGAACAAGAATTTTTTAAATTTTTAATATGTTTTTAATTGATTTTAAAGAGAGAAGAAGGGATAGGAAGAGAGATAGAAACATTGAAGAGAGAGAAACACCAATCAGCTGCCTCATGCACTTCCCCTAATGGGGATCAAGCCCACAGTCAGGGCGCATGACCTCTTGGTTTATGGGTCGATTCTCAACCACTGAGCCACACTGACTGGGCTGGACGAATTTTTTATACTGGCCTGGGAACTCTAGGTCAGGAGGTCCCATGGTGGGAGCTGCCTACACTGGGGGCGCTATTAACTTCTGCCTGATTAATGTCTGTCCTTCTTGGTGTACCCTAACATCATAAACTCACTTTCAGGGGGCCACATGGCCCCTCTGGGGTTGTGCTTTGTGCCCATCACCGCACTGGCTCGGCCCTGGAGCCTTCAGGTGAGCTTGAACTTACAGGCCACAGCTGTGCTGTACCTGAGTTGATGCCTTGGGCCAGGTAAAAACGTGCCAGACAGGAACTAAGGAGGAGGCCATCTGGCTTTCTAAGATAGACTTTTCTGGTTACTGGGAGTTATTTTAACGGCTAAATCCAGGACCCCCTAATAGGAATAGCAGAGGTCGGTCCTGCAGATTGGTCTCCCCTGTGTGGGTTCTACAGATAATAACTTCGCTGCAAAGAAGCCTTGCCCCAGGGCCAAGGATCAACTGTGTAGAAATGAGTTAATAGAGCAGCCTGAGACTGCTCGCCTTGCAAAGGCCTGTTGGCAAGGTTGGCCCTTGACTGGTGACTGGGAACTTGGACTTGAGGAGGCTTCTCATCATTCACTAAATGATGAGTGACTCCCTGTGCCCAAACTGTGTGTACAAACGATGTGCTTTTGCGGAATATCTGCTTTCCCTGTGGGAATCTGGAATTTGGTGTCTGCTAGGCGGAGGGTGCCTATGCAGCCCGCCCCAGTGAAAGTCCTGGCACTGAGTCCCTAACCAGCTCCCATTCTGCTGGTGTGGTCACAGCGCACTGCTGGAGGAACTCACTGTGTCCTGTGCCACTTCCCTGGGAGAGGACTCTGGGAAGCTTGCGCCTGGTTTCCTTCCCACTTTGCCTGTGCGCCCTTCCCCCTGGCTGATTCTGCTCCACAGCCTTTCTCTGTAATACATCATATTTGGCCATAAGTAGGGCTATATTCTGAGTGAGTTTCCTAGTGAATCATTGAACTGGGGGGTGGTCTTGGGGACCCCCTACAAAAGACACAAGGGGGCCATCTGAGGTATCAGTAGTGTTCTCTCAATCTGGGTGCTGTTTACATGGAGTGTTTAATTTGTGAAAATTCACTGAGCTGTATAATTATGATATGTATACTTTTTCTGTATGTAGAGTTAACTTCAATAAAAAGAAAATAGAAGACTATACACCACAGAGATAAAAAAAAAAGACTTAATTTAAAAAACAAACCACTCCCTTTTATTAGCAAACATTTGCCTCCCTTTTACAGGCATTGCACTGGGAGCTCGGGACATGGGGTAGGAAGGAATCATCGTTGCCACACAGTTTTTTGGGAGGCAGGTGAAGAGTACTTACAATGTGGTTGATTTTTGCTGGGCTCTATCAGAGACACAGAAGGGTGACAGGGCGCAGAGAAAGAGCTTCTAACTTGGCTATTTTGCCACCCCAGGGTTGCCATTCAGGTATCTACAGTAGCCAGATAGGCAAATGGTCAAAGGTGGCAGGTGGGGAGCTGGGAACTTTGGCAAAATGGGAAGATGTGCAGGCATAGAGTTGCCAGAGCTGCTAGTTTTGTTTTTGTTTTTCAGGAAAAGCCATGGATCTGAATTTTGTGAGCGCTCTCTTGATTTTTAAGTGCTTTAAATAAATCCAAATGGGGGGCTAAAAAAAAATAAAGAGTAGGGCCAAACAAAACACCTGCGGGCCAGATTTGGCATTGGCCTGTCAGTTTGCCAGGCAGTCTGCCAACCAGCCCTCCCTCCCTCTGACTGAACGCTGAGGGTCTACTCTTGTAGGCACTGGGAAGTATCCGTCTTTTAGTTGTATTTTTGAAGTGGTTGTTTGCGGCAGCAGTCTCCGGTGTTTACCTATGCCGCCATCTGGGTCTCTCGCTAGTTTTGTTTTTGTTTTTCAGGAAAAGCCATGGATCTGAATTTTGTGAGCGCTCTCTTGATTTTTAAGTGCTTTAAATAAATCCAAATGGGGGGCTAAAAAAAAATAAAGAGTAGGGCCAAACAAAACACCTGCGGGCCAGATTTGGCATTGGCCTGTCAGTTTGCCAGGCAGTCTGCCAACCAGCCCTCCCTCCCTCTGACTGAACGCTGAGGGTCTACTCTTGTAGGCACTGGGAAGTACAGCAGTGAGCAAGCCACACGTGCTTGTGCACTGGGGGCTCTGGTATGGAGCTTCTCAAACTTAAGTATGTGTAGGAATCACCTGGGCAGATTCTACTCAGGAGCTCTGCAGCGGGCCTGTAAAGTTGCCTAACAAGCTCCCAGGTGATGGTAATGGTGGTGGTCCCTGGACCGGAGGTTGAGTTGTTCTGTAAGCCAGGGTCACAGAAACAGCTGTTACTTGGAGAGGAGTAGGGACCTTGACATGAAGATGCAAATTTATGGCAAGCATCCTGTTTTTACTTGGATTTTAGTTTATTGGAGGTGGCTCGGAAGAGAACTGATGGCATGGGAGGCGGGTTCTAAGGCTCTCCCACGCTCTCTCTCTGGTCTCTATTCGGAGTTTATATTCTAGAAGACGGGGTGGGGGTGGAGGAAGGTTTAAGGAAAGCTTCCTGGAGGAGGTACTTCCCGGGCTTCGGAGAGGGAGAAACCCAGAACTCCTGCTCGGTTATGGCCCAGGCATCCCACGTGTCTACCGTCCCCGACTCCCTGTCAATCAACACACCCTTTCTTCCCCTCCCCTTCCCCGCCGCTCGGGCTGTGTGTTTAAAGGCGGCTGCGGGGCCGAGCGCACCCAGAGTGCCGCGCGGCGGGCGGGTTTGGATTTTAAATCCCCGCGGCCAATCAGCGGCGCGTAGACCTTTGTAACGTTCCCGGCGCCGCGTTTGAATTCGAGGAGGAGCCGAGCGGTGTCAGCCTCTGCCCAGACCCTGCTAGATCGGCTCGGGGAGTCCGGGAGCATGAGTGCGGCGGCGGCTGCAGGGAAGCTGGCGCGGGCACCGGCCGACCCAGGGAGAGCCGGGGCCCCCGGCGTTGCAGCTCCGGGGGCTCCAGCGGCCGCCCCGCCGGGGAAAGAGATCCCGGAGGTCCTAGTGGACCCACGCAGCCGGCGGCGCTATCTGCGGGGCCGCTTTCTGGGGAAGGGCGGCTTTGCCAAGTGCTTCGAGATCTCGGACGCGGACACTAAGGAGGTGTTCGCGGGCAAGATCGTGCCCAAGTCCCTGCTGCTCAAGCCGCACCAGAAGGAGAAGATGTCCATGGAGATATCCATTCACCGCAGCCTCGCCCACCAGCATGTCGTCGGCTTCCACGGCTTCTTCGAGGACAACGACTTCGTGTTCGTGGTGTTGGAGCTCTGCCGCCGGAGAGTGAGTGTCCCTGTTGGGAGGCTGGAGCTGCCCGGGGCCGGGGTGGAGCGCCCGCACCCGGAGCTGCAGGAGAGGCGCTGGGAACCTCGAGCTGGCGGTGGAAAAGCTCCTGGGTAGAGCTTGGAGTTACTGGAGGAGGGGGTTTCGGTTAAATGGAGCCCGAGTCTTGTTGCTGCCAGAGAAGTTGGCTCCTGGACGCGGGGTGTTGCGGGGGTGGGGGTGGGGGGAGCCCTGGTAATGGACGCTAGGGCTTCCGGAGTTGCTAAGGGTGGAGTCCGGGGGGAATGGGTGCCATTGCCCTGGAGCTTCCGGATTAGGCTGGTGTCTGGGAGAGGGTGGTAGGAGGAGGTTCAGGAAAGGGATCTGCTGCTGCGAAAAGACCGGGAAGGGGGTGACTGGGGACTCTGAGACTAGGGAGTGGGGCTGACAGAGGGGTCCCAGGTCAGGGGCTTTGGAAGGAGCTGGTAGGAGAGAGGGTGCCAAGAACGGTGCGGCCAGGTTTACGGGAGAGCCCAGATCCTAGCTGTTCTGGAAAAGAAATGGGGGTGGGGGTGTCCGGGGCTGCCTTTACCTAATGATACCGCCTCCACCTTTGGACCTCAGTACCGACCCCCCATTCCTCCTCCTCCCTTTCCTCTCCCCCCGCCCCCAGTCTCTCCTGGAACTGCACAAACGGAGGAAAGCACTGACGGAGCCCGAGGCTCGCTACTATCTGCGGCAGGTGGTCCTTGGCTGCCAGTACCTGCACCGAAACCGGGTCATTCACCGGGACCTCAAGCTAGGCAACCTCTTCCTGAACGAGGACCTGGAGGTGAAAATAGGTGAGGTGCTGGGCCTGCAGGGGATAAAGAGGCGCCTGGGAGCGGGGAAGGAGGAAGGAGGTGGGGGAGGGAGGAAGAAGGTGGGAAGGCTGAGCTGTTGATCACCCCTGTAAGTTTCCCTGTACATCATCTGTATAGTGCAGTGTACTCACCACCCAAAGTCCAGTCTCCTTCATATATCTGACCCCCTTATTCTTCATTCCTGTCCCCTCTGGTAACCACCATACTGTTGTCTGTGTCTATGAGTTTGTTTTGCTTGTTTGTTGCTTTCTGTTTTGTATCCCACGTGTGAGTGAAATCATGGTTCTTGTCCTTTTCTGTCCGACTTATTTTACTTAACAAGAGACTCTCAGGATTCATCCATGTGGTCTCAGATGACAGTATTCCATCCTTTTTTATGCCTGAGTAGTATTCCATTGTATGTATGTACCACATCTTCTTTCAGTTATCCATCGAAGGACACTTAAGTTGTTTCCATCCATGTCTTGGAAAAATAAGTGGTTTTGCCCCGCCTGTGTGGCGCAGTGGTTTGTGTCGGCCTATGAACCAGGAGGTCACGGTTCGATTCCTGGTCAGGACACATGCCTGGGTTGCGGGCTCCATCCCAGTAATGGTCATGCAGGAGACAGCGGATCAATGATTCTCTCTAATCATTGATGTTTATCTCTCCCCCTCCCTCCCTTCCTCTCTGAAATCAATAAAAATATTTTTTTAAAAAGTGCTTTCAAAATTTGGGGGTAGATACCCAGAAGAGGATTTCTGGGCCATATGGTAGCTCTATTCATTTTTTAAGGAACTTCCAAACTGTTTTCCATAGTGGCTGTACCAAGTTATGTTCCCACCAGCAGTGTATGAGGATTCCCTTTTCTCCATTTCTCTCTAACACTTGTTATTTCTGACAATATTTTTTTAAAAAAGAATTTAAATGATGTTTCCATTTTTAAAATTGGGAGGCTGAACATACAAGTTTTGATTTAGTGCTCCTTTTATTTCATTTATTTATTTTAAAGATTTTAAATTGATTTTTAGTGAGTAAGGGAGAAGGGGAGAGAGAGGGAAGCATCAACATCGATGTGAGATGTCGATTGGCTGCTTCCTGCACACCTACCCGGACAGCCCGCAGCTGGGGCATGTGCCCTGGCTGGGAATCAAACCAGCAACCTTTTGGTGCTCAGGATGATGCCCAACCAACTGAGCCACACTGGCCAGCACTGCAGCTCTTTTTAAACAATTGAAAACCCCAGCATTACAAGGACAGCATTCCCTCAGGGCAGCTCTTTGCTGGGCTGAAAAGCAGCTGTTCCCTTTAGACTCCCTCTGGTTTGCCACAGTCCCAATCCCTCCCTACTCCTCACAAGCTTGCCTAGTAGCAGTCTTGAAGTTTACTTGCTTGATCCCTTAGTTTCTCTCTCCCTGTCAGTTCCCTTTTAGAAGCTTAGCCCTCCTTTCTAAGAGGAGGGGTTAGGAGGGTCATTGAGAGGCCCCCTCCTTGGGCCAGCATGGTGGGGGGATTCCTGGGGAGGAGTAGAGCTTGAGGGCTCAGATGACCCTGGTTCTCGGGGGTCCAACAGGATCCATAAAGGCAGTAGTCTGTGTTGACGGATGACAGAGGCTAGCATCTGAGGACTGCCCCTTCCTCCCTCTGTCCCAGGGGATTTTGGACTGGCAACCAAGGTCGAATATGACGGGGAAAGGAAGAAGACCCTGTGCGGAACTCCTAATTACATCGCTCCTGAGGTGCTGAGCAAGAAAGGGCACAGTTTCGAGGTGGACGTGTGGTCCATTGGGTGCATTATGTAAGTTGGGGGACCCCCTGGCCTCAGCAGGGGCTCTTTTGGAAATCCCACCTGTGAACGGATCTGCCTATGAAAAGGCTGCTCCCAGGGCAGACTACCCCAAAACAAAGCCTAATTCCCCATCTCCTCTTGACACTGGTGTAGGCTGTAGGATTCCTGCAGCCGGGTCCCTTGCTGCTCAAAGTGTGGCTCACAGACCAGCAACACCATCACTTAGAAGCCTGTTCAAAATGGAGAACCTGAATCAGAGTCCAGATTTTAACCGAGTCCCTGGCTGATCTCACGCACAAAAGTTTTAGAACCACTGATCTAGAAAGCAGCATTGGATGCGAGGACGTGGGCCAAGGCCATCGGAGCTGAGTGGTAGGAGAGCGCCTTTTCAAGTGTGGCTTCGTTAGCCCGGGGACCAGAGTCAGAAATGAGTTGTGGCAATGGCCTTCATACTTTTTTTCAGTGGAGCTATTTCAAATGAAAACTTCAGGCTTTAAGTACAGAACTATTAAACACAGAGCTGCCTCTGCAGGCGCGGTAGCCCCCTTCTTGACTTGTTCTGTATCGGCTGGCGGCCTCTGGGACCCTAGAACACTGCGGGCTTTTGCTGAGAAAGCTCTGGCCCATAAGAATCCTGTTCTCATCACCTCTAATCTACTGAGGGCTCTCTCTGGTTTCTGGGCTGCTCCGTGGGCGTGGAAGCTGTCCTCAGGGACAGAGTGAGTGTCCAGAGGATGCCTGGCCTTCGCTCTGGCCCTGAGCTGATTCCTCCTGCATCTCTTTTGGCTGAGAACTGAGCCAAATTCCACCTTGTGCTTACAGGTATACCTTGCTAGTGGGCAAACCACCTTTTGAGACATCTTGCCTAAAAGAGACCTACCTCCGGATCAAGAAGAATGAGTACAGTATTCCCAAGGTGACTTAAAGCACTTGGAGTTGAACTTGATTATGTTTTGTTACCCCCTCGCCCCCAAAGCTATTTACTGAGCCCAGCTAGAAGCTGGGGACACAGAGAGAGGGTCCACTCCACACCTCAGCTAGCCTCAGAGCCTTCGAGGGTCCGTGTCTGAAACTGCATACAGAACGGAACATCTGTGCGCAAAAGCATTTTTTCCAGGGGAAGGGAGTTTGTAGATTTCAGAGGAAAAACAAACACCAAAAAGATGGGAAGGAAGTAGGAGGCAGAAGGAGAGGTGCTGCATAAGCTTTGGCAGTGGACTTGATGCAGATGGGCCAGTGGCCTGGCCCTTCTGAACTGTGGCCCTGTCTGAGCCGGAGCTGCTGCCTCTGCAGCACCTCGCACGGCGCCCTGCATACAGTAGGTGCTCACAGTCGTGGATCACTGAGTCCACCGTGGTGTGAAAATGCACCTGGCACATGGCCGCTTTCCTGTTTAGTGTTCTTGCCTTGTGTGCAGCCAAGAGCCCTGTCCCCATGAAGACAGAGTGTCCTAAAGGGTCAGTTAACTGTCAGACGGACGCAGCATGGAATGGTTCAGAGTGTGGGTCCTCGAGCTGCTAGACTGCCTCTGTGTGGGTGCTGGCTCTACCACTTAGTGTGTTTTCTTAGGCACTTAACCTCTCTGTGCCTCAGTTTCCTCGTCTGCAAGAGCATGGTGGTCACAGAGGTCTCCCCCGGCACATGTTTCTGTGAAGGTTAACTGGGTGGATAGCAGGATGTGCTGGCACACAGTGGGTGTGGAGTTAATGCTAGCTGTCACTATGCATTTGACCCGTGCTAGGTTATCGCCCACGGAACCTTCTCACCGGGGCTCCAGGCTTGGTACCGTGTCCCCATGTTATAGATGAAGATACTCGTCACAGCTGGTGTTGTGGGCAGAACTGGGACTTACACCAGGTCTCTGTGACCCCAAAGCCTGTGTTCTCGAGTGCTCGTCTAGTGGGGAGAGCTGGAATCATGCAAGAGCAAATTCAGGGACAAGTCGACCTCGGCTCCATCTTGAGTTTCGAGAGGAAGAGAGAATAACCATTCTCACGGCTTGTCAACTCAGCAAAGCTGATGGGGGGAACTGGCATTGTTTGTAGCGCTGACGGGCCTGTTTGATACCGGGGCTGCATGGGGAACAGGCTGCAGGTCCTGGCGCGGTGCTGCACCGGGGCTCCGTCACGTGGCTTATGGCTCTCCCTGTCTCTGCTCCAGCACATCAACCCCGTGGCCGCCTCCCTCATTCAGAAGATGCTTCAGAGCGACCCCACCGCCCGCCCCACCATCCACGAGCTGCTCAGCGACGAGTTTTTTACCTCTGGCTACATCCCCGCCCGACTGCCCATCACCTGCCTCACCATCCCACCCAGGTTTTCCATTGCTCCCAGCAGCTTGGACCCCAGCGGCCGGAAGCCTCTCTCAGTCCTCAATAAAGGTAAAACAAGGCCTGGGCAGACAGCAGGCCCCTCCCGCAAAGAGCCTAGGCTTCCAGTGTGTGGTGGGTGGCCCAGAGTGTGGGGTGCAGCAGGACAGGCTCTGGCCCTGGCCCCATCCTCCATAGGAAGATGCCCTGGGTTCTGTCAGAAAGACAGACCTTGCACCGCTGATCACACCTGTCAGGCCCAAAGAGAGCAGTGTGAACTTAGCGGCACACCTGAAAAATTCTTATTCGAAAAATTCTAGCCATCACTCCTGTATGGTTCATTGAGAAAAATATGAGAAACCTCAGATGTCCACATGGAACTCAGGGCAGTGGACTCCTGAGCACCCAGCAGTTCATGTCACTGAGAGTGAGCCACGTGCGCTTCATCTCGTTTTGTTCCTGTGACGTTAATAGCAGACACCGTAGCGTTTTATGCCCCATAAACTTCAGTGTGTCTGTCTTCAAAAGGATGGACATCTTATCAAACCACACGCCACTGATTAGGTTATTATTGTTTCTAGGTCTCCTCAGAGGACAGAATTAGGAAATACATAATTTGGCGCGGGGGGGACAGGGCTTGAGTTTATGGTGATATTTCCCATTCGCATTTTTTCTTTTTTGTTTTTGTTAATCCTTACCCGAGGATATTTTTCCATTGATTTGAAAGAGAGAGGGAAACACAGAGAGAAATATCGATGTGAGAGAAACACATCGACTGGTTGCCTCCTTCACACGCCCCGACCAGGGCCTAGGCCAGGGAGGAGTCTGTCACCGAGGTACGGAATGGGTCCGCAGACACTCTATCCACTGAGCCAAACCGGCTAGGGGCCCAATTCACATTTTTTCAACATTTTATTTGTTATATTTCAAACTTGGGAAAAGGTGTGAGAAGAGACAGAATCTCCTATATCCACTTTACCCAGACCCATAATTCACATATTTTTTTCACATTTGCTTCATCAGTACCCTTTCTTCCTCCCCTTCCTCTCTTTCTTCTGAACTGTTTGTGAGTTATATACTCTAGTCCAGTGATGGCAAACCTATGACACGCGTATCAGAGGTGACACGCGAACTCATTTTTTTGGGTGATTTTTCTTTGTTAAATGGCATTTAAATATATAAAATAAATATCAAAAATATACATCTTTGTTTTACTATGGTTGCAAATATCAAAAAATTTCTATATGTGACACGGCACCAGAGTTAAGTTAGGGTTTTTCAAAATGCTGACACGCTGAGCTCAAAAGGTTCGCCATCACTGCTCTAGTCTTTACAACTTAATACTTCAATGTATATATCCCCAAAGAAAGATTCTTTTACAAAGCCACAGCACATGGCGCAGTTATCAGGTTCAGGAAATTTAATGTTGATACGATCTTGTTTTATAGCAATCTTTTTCTCTACTGTGAAGTTACTGCTTTTCTTTTGGTAATTTATAAGTGATTCTAAATAATGTTTTAGGATTTTTACTTCTTTGATTTTATGTTTGTATTTCTTTTCTCTTAAACTGAAAATCTTGTCTCCCTATTTTAATATACATACATTTTTCAACATATATAAACTAGTTCCTTTTGTTAAATGAATGTTTTATTTTCTTGCAGTTCTATTTGTCCTTGGAATATATTTCACTAAAGATAATATAGTGTGGTCCTAACCGGTTTGGCTCAGTGGATAGAGCATCGGCCTGCGGATTCAAGGGTCCCAGGTTCAATTCCAGTCAAGGGCATGTACCTTGGCTGCGGGCACATCCCCAGTAGGGGGCGTGCAGGAGGCAGCTAATCGATGTTTCTAACTCTCTATCCCTCTCCCTGCCTCTCTGTAAAAAATCAGTAAAACATATTTTTTAAAAAAAGATAATGTGAAAAAAAAGATCACTTGAAATACTTTTCTTCTCTGTGTGGATATAGCATCAATTTAATATATGCCAATTTAATGTATAAGTTCATTTGTTTCCGTTATAACCTAATACTGTTATTTTAAGGATTATCTATTTTTCTTTTGGGGTTAATTTTTTGACATTTCTTTTACTGGTGATGTCAGTCTTTTTTCTTTTTTTAAAAATGTTTTTATTTTTTTTTAGAGAGATAGAAACATTGACCAGCTGCCTCCTGCATGCCCCCTACTGGGGACCAAGCTGGCAACCTGGGCATATGCCCTGACCAGAACCGAACTGTGGCCTCCTGGTTCATGGGTCAACACTCAACCACTGAGCCCCACGGGCCAGGGCAGTGATGTCAGTCTTGATCACTTGGTCTTGGTGGGTCTGCAGGGCTCCTCTGCGGCAGCACCATTTTCTCTGATGATTAAAACGCGCCTTGCCAGGGCTTCTCTGAGACTGTTGCTCCTCAGGCTCCGCCCACTGATGCTAGCACTCCTGGTGGCTCTTGCCTGTGGCAGCTGTTACCATGGTGTTCTGACCGTGATGTTCCTCTCCTTACTCCAGCCACATTCATTCATGGGAATACTTCTGTAAGGAGGAGCTGGTGCTTCTCTCCCATGTATTTATTTATTCAGTTATGTCAGTCTGGACTCATGGGCATTTATTCTTTGGGCTATCATGTAATAGTGTTATTTTAAGGATTGCTTTTTAAAAAAATATATTTTAGTGATTTTTTTCACGGAGAGGAAGGGAGAGGGATAGAGAGTTAGAAACATCGATGAGAGAGAAACATCGATCAACTGCCTCCTGCATACCCCACAACGGGGATGTGCCTACAACCAAGGCACATGCCCCTGACCGGAATCGAACCTGGGACCCCTCAGTCCACAGGCTGACGCTTCATCCACTGAGCCAAACTGGTCAGGGCTAGGGATTGCTTTTTTTATCTTTTGCCTTTAATTTTTGGACACAAAACATTTTGTAAAAACTTATGCTGGAAATTTTTAAACTTACCCACACGTAGAGAGAACTGGCCCTAGCCGGTTTGGATAGAGCATCGGCCTGCGAACTGAAAGGTCCCAGGTTCAATACCGGTCAAGGGCACATGCCCAGGTTGTGGGCTCGATCCCCAGTGGGGGGCTTGCAGGAGGCAGCTGATCAATGATTCTCTCTTATCACTGATGTTTCTCTCTCTCTCCCTCTTCCTTCCTCTCTGAAATCAATAAATATGTATTTTAAAAAAAGTAGAGAGAATTGTATGATGAACCCCCATGTATTACATCATCCATTTTCAAAAGTCAGTTACATTTGCCTATATTTATTCCACATCCTCCTCCTTTTTTTTGGCTAGAGTTTTAAAGGCAAATCTGAAATATTTCACACTTAAGTCTTTACCACAGCATCGTTTTTAAAATGGAAAACTCTGATCTGCAAATATTGTAAAGAAGGGTTTCATATTTCACGAGGGGAATAAGCATATGGTGGTGGGGAAAGGGTTAAACAGAGAAGCTTAAGAGAAAACCATGCTTCCACCACTCAGATGTGACCAATGTCCCGTCTCAGTGTGGGTCTTTCCAGGCTGTTGGGCTTAGAAGTAGATAAAGCACATTTTAGGGTGGGCAGTCTCTTACATTTTTGTTAAGTGCCTGCTTAATTCATCCTGCTGGTCTGCCATTTACTGACCCTCCCATTTGCCTGGACGCTGAAGGTACTTGTCATTCTGAGTGTCTGACTCTGTGTGGCTGTGGATCCTTCCTAAAGGGCTTGCCTGGTGCTGGAGGTACTAGTGAGCACCAGGTGCCTGTGAGAGCCTGAGCTCTAAGAGCCTGACACTGACTAGGTTCACCCAAAGCAATCAATAGCAGCTAAAAGGGATTTTCTCTGGGGAGAGAGTACCAGCTGGGGCACAGGGTCCCTACCCTCCCAACCTGCTGCTTGGTGCCAGCTAATGACCACGTCTCATTTCTTAGGTACGGAGAACCCCATGCCTGAGCGGCCCCGAGAGAAAGAGGAACCCGCGGTCCGGGAGACCAATGAGGCGGTCGACTGCCACCTTGGGGATATGCTGCAGCAGCTGCACAGCGTCAACGCCTCCAAGCCCTCGGAGCGGGGGCTGGTCAGGCAAGGTGGGCACTGCAGCCGCCTGGGGCGAGGCTGCTCCAAGCATCGCGAGAGACCAGGGAGTCTCAGCCCGCAAAGTGTGGGCCTTCACCAGGCCCCTGTCCTCATAATCTGTCCAGTTCCCTCATTTCCTGTAGATTAAAGTCCCGATGAGTTAGCCTGATGCCCGAGGCCCTCCATGGTCTGGCCCTTCCTTTCTGACTCATGGGTGCTGCCTCCCATCTCCCAGTACCTCACTGCGGCCTGGGTACCTGTCTGCAGTTTTTTCTGTTCAGTGAATTCCTGGTTGGCCTTCGAGACGGTTGAAACAACAGATCAGGACATGCTCCAGCCTCAGAGCTTTGCGTACACTGTCCCTGCGGAGCGTTCTTCCTGCAGCTCTGCATGGCTCTCACACTCGTGTTTCTCAGATGTCTGCTCTGGTGGCCCCTCACGAGCATTTCCTGGCACCACTCCCAGCACTGGGCATCCCCTGTGCCTGCTTTATATGATCTATAGCACCTCTCACCCCACAGACTCTAAAGTTTTCATATTGAATTTCTGTATTAGAGAAGGGTTATTGCGGTCACTGTGTATAACACTTTGATGTATTTGGAATTGTCTTCTCACAATATTTGAATCATTCAAAACTAGAAAGCTAGAGAATCTGCCAGCCACTGACTCTCACCATGATGGAAGCAACTTAAACATTTTGTTCATACTTATTTTGATTCGTCTCTGTCCCTATGGCTAGAATGCAAGCTCCTGAAGGCTGGGTTTTGCTCACTGCTCACTGAGGGCAAGAGCCTGGTTCTGACCAATCATCTGTCTGTTTCCATCCAGAGGAGGCCGAGGATCCCGCCTGCATCCCCATCTTCTGGGTCAGCAAGTGGGTGGACTACTCGGACAAGTACGGCCTCGGTAGGTTTCTCCCAGAATGGGTGGGTGGCTCCAGGCGGCCCGTGACCCTTTGACCTGTTCCGGCCTCTTGCCTTTTTTGGCTGCTAGGTCCTCTCCCAGCTCTCCTAGCTCCATCCCAGACCTCCAGTGCCAGCTCCCCATGTCCCCGTGCTCCCCTTTCTGAGGTCTCCCCCCACTGCCGCTAGGATACCAACTGTGTGACAACAGCGTGGGGGTGCTCTTCAATGACTCGACTCGCCTTATCCTCTACAACGACGGTGACAGCCTGCAGTACATAGAGCGGGACGGCACAGAGTCCTACCTCACCGTGAATTCCCATCCCAACTCCCTGATCAAGAAGGTGGGTGCTGGCCGGCCCGCGTGGCCCGTGCTGCCGGGAGGGAGATGGGCCGGGATGGGGCTCCAACTCTGGACTTCTGACTCCCACTAGATCACCCTCCTTAAGTATTTCCGGAACTACATGAGCGAGCACTTGCTGAAGGCAGGGGCCAATATCACACCACGGGAAGGTGACGAGCTGGCCCGGCTGCCCTACCTGCGCACCTGGTTTCGCACCCGCAGTGCCATCATCCTGCACCTCAGCAATGGCTGTGTGCAGATCAACTTCTTCCAGGTGAGCTGGGCCGCGGGAGTGGGCGTGGGGGTCTGTGCCTGTCGGGGGGCTTGGGTTGGGCGGGGAGTGGGAGGTGTGGAAACTGCCCTTGGCAGCAGGAAGGGAGTGGGGTGAGGGCCCCCAACCAGCTGGGCTGTCTTCCTTCTGCTCCCCCCACATACACAGCTGGACCTTCAATTCACTGGTCACCACCTGTCCCTCCTCCTTCCCTCCTAGGACCACACCAAGCTCATCCTGTGCCCGCTGATGGCCGCCGTGACTTACATCAACGAGAAGCGGGACTTCCGCACGTACCGCCTGAGCCTCCTGGAGGAGTTTGGCTGCTCCAAGGAGCTGGCCAGCCGGCTGCGATACGCCCGCACCATGGTGGACAAGCTGCTGAGCTCACGCTCAGCCACCAACCGCCTCAAGGCCTCCTCGTAGGCCCGCCCCCTTGGGACTGGTGCCCCCGTAACCCCCACCAGCACCTTGGCCCGTTCTGGTCAGCTCCCCTGGCCCTGGTTTTTATAGTGTGCCCTAGCCCTGGGCATGGAGAGCCATTACAGATGGGGCTGCTGTGTAAGTTATTTTTGTACATGTTTGCGTGTGGGTTCTATGGCCCCTCCCTTCCCTCTCACCCGCACTGTATGTACAGAATGTTGCTGTTGGATTCAGGACTGTCCTTTCCCCGCCTTTATACACATTAAACACATGAGAGCCTTTTTCTTCTTGTATTCCGAGGGGTGTCTGGCACCTGGGCGCTCGGCACATCTTTGCTCCAACATCTCTCCCCAGGCTTCCAAGCCTCTGCAGGAATTTTCCCATGTGAGGCCAGCCTCAGCCCAGGCCTGGCTCCTCAGCCGGCCGGCCTCCGCTCCCAGCGGCTCCTGCGCATGGCTCCCTGGTCCCTGGGGCCGGCGGGTAGTAGGGCAAGAAGAGGCTCTCGGAGGCGCAGCTCCTCATGGCCTGGTGCGTGTGGAGCAGCAGCCGCGGGAAGCGGTCTGTGAAGTACTGGACAAAGCTGTCGGGGACCTGGCCGAGCGCCTGCCGGACCTCACCCGGGAGCTCCCTGTAGTGGTGCTTCTGCAGGGTTAGAGCAGGGCCCTGGCTCAGCGGAAGCGGAGACCAAGCCTTCCCAAGAGCCAGGCCCGCCCGAGCCCCAGACGCACCTTGTTCCTCATGGCGCGGAGCAGGTCTCGCACCGAGGTCCCCTTATAGGACCGGAACCGTCGCAGATCTGTGGGCGGGGAGGGGAAGTCGTGGGCTAAGTGGCCCCGTTGGGCTCCCCTCCCAGCCCCCTCGTGCCCGGCTCTACCTGTCTGCAGCGGCACTGTGATGTGCTTGTGCCAGTTGCCCCGGACCACGGTGGAGCCTCCTGCCTCCAGCGCCATCACCAGGGGCCCCTGTTCGGACTCTTTCTCCAGCCAGTCACTGACGTCCTAGGGCCCCATAGAGCTCCTGAGCCTGTGACCAGCTTCCGAGGCCTCAAGGCCAGGAGCCCGCCCTCCTGTTGTCCCACCAGGTCGTTAGCAGCCCAGGGGTGGGTACTGTTCTCCATCTCACAGAGCAAGCCGGCTTGGGGACAGAGTGCTTTGCTCTGGGTCTTGCCGGTGGAATGGGCTACCTGGGCACAGGTTCAGCACGAGTGGCCACTGGGGCTGAAAGGAGCAGGTGTGCTCTCACAAGGGGCGGCTT